AAACGCTTTATTTGTATACCTTTCTTTGTAAGAATTTTTCCGACCATATCTTGTGTGCGTGAAAACCTTTGATGAAAAGACCCCAGTTTCGCAATATTTGATAAATCAAAAAGAATTTACGTGGTTTACATTCCTGTCAAATTGACCATATTATGAATTTCCACATTGTTAAAAAATAGTTGCTTGTGTTTTAAAGTTTTCTAAACATTTATTTGACCTTTTCAATTTTACGACATACAAGAATACGTTGTGAATACCCTAATTTTTTAATTTTTAAAAACCCTGCCAAAAATAATCTTATCTATTTTTGTTGCATCAAACAATTATTCACATAGCGCATTTATAAGCGTACATATATATAATAAGGTACAAAAAGTTTTTTTTTTACAATCTTAGCTACAAAGTTCTATATTTTAAGATTATATCAACAAGTTTGACATCTCTGTCTTAACAGCCGATTAAGTGGAATTCGGTTTGTGCATTACATAAATGCCAAATACTTAATTTATATTTTATAATTTTTGTGATACCAGCATCACAATTCATACTAATATTAGTAAATCAGTGAAAAATTAAAAGGATCAAAAGAAAACGAATAATAATAAAAATTGCATTTGGGGTACGCAGACGTAGTCGCGGGTATTAGCTAGTAATCCAAAAGTGTGGAATTGAAACGCAATTTACATTTATTTGTGTGACTTTTACTAACAAACTTGTATGATCAACCATTACCTACTTCCGTTTTGTTTTATTTTTCCTTCCATCATTCCATCATTTAAACGTGTTTAAGTAATTAGAATCAATCACCTAAATTGACAATAGTTATTTTCGCTTCGAAAACTTTTGTTAAAAATAAGCATTTCCGATACATAATTCTATTAAATATCTAATTACTAACGTATACATAAATAGTATTGTAAATTTGATTTTCATTTAAAAAATTTAGCAACACAATAATTAATTTCAGTTTAAATTTAAAATATTTGATCTTATTGTAAAAGTGCAAGAGCACTCAAAATTTTGTATAACAGCGCCCGTCTCAGCTGAGTAGATGCAAGCCTGTGTAGAGATGTCGGAAAAACATGGATGCACCAAAAATTTTCACTTCGAAATATCAATGCATATTTATCTTCCAGTGGCACATTTATGATTATGGTTTCGTGGTCATCAGAAAGCATGACCGTCTTAAATCAATTAACGAAAGTATTATGTCTGTGAAGAAGTTCTTAAAATTCTCTTATGATCTAAAATTCCATGGCATGGTTAATCGCACAATGAAATAGGTTTGAAGAACTTTTCTCTCTTCAGTCTCTGGCGGCAACAATGATCCGGTTCGATGGTAATGGTATAGTTGGTGACAAATTCAAAATGGGTGAGTTTCGTTGTTCTACAGAAATCCAATATAAATACATAGACTTATTTCAGACGAAATATGTACCTTAAATGTCTCAACAAGAACCACATTGGTGGTGGTGGTTGATTTAAGGGTGGCCACTTGAAATGTACCCCTAAACAACTAAATCCTGTTGTCTCCGAATGAAGCTTTACCGTACTCAGTAGTTCAGCACGTCGATATAGTCGGACATTCACGGTACTTTTCCTCACTTGATGATTTTAACTAATAACACAACTCCAATGACAGCTGGCGGCTCTTTCTTGAAATAGTATATCCCTTACAGTTACCAATATATATGTATCGCCTATAGAAGCCAAATCGGATCATAAAAGTGATTTTGGTAATAACTCGATTCCAGAGCCACTTGACGGGCAAATTATTTCGTTAAAATATTCCCCTTTAATAATATAATATATATTTCGAATATAAGACGAGTCATTTCACCATAAGGTTTTTAGTAATAACTCGACTTCTACACCTACCCTCACTTTTTGCCTTCATACGTGGGGGAAGCCATAGAGGCCACCTGCAGACTAAGAAGAAACAGATATTGGTATAACTCTGAGTGGGGCGAGGCAGAAATTTCTGGTGGCCGAGATCTGAGCACTTATGTCTTTTCAATGCCACAGGATAGCACGCCACTTTTCTTGGGCAGATTCTATAGTGTTGAGATTCCTGCGGCTGAAGTTGGTTTAATAATGGTCTATGCGTTAAATTAAATTAAAAAGAAACTTGTATATATTTTTCTTTACAAAACAATAAAAACTAATAATTTAAAGAAAAAAAATTGAATGGAAATGAGGTAAAAATAAATAAAAATATTTTTAAAAATTAAACAAAACTAAAAAAAAATCTTATGAAAACAAAAAAACAAAAAGGATATTATAAAAAGATAATAAATAAATAAAAAAGAAGGAAACAAAACTTAGTAATTAAAAGAAAAAATATATATTTTTAATTTTAAAACAAATTCAACAAATTAAAAGACAACTAAGTCAAAAAAGACCATAAAATAAATACGATCATACATTATTTTCTTTTTGAAAATATAAAATCAAAAAATTTAAAGAAAGTGAAACTAACAACAAAAAAACAAATTTAATTAAAACAGAAATAAGTAAAATAAGTTTCTAAAAATAAATTAAATTTAAAAAATATATATTTTTCTTTTTTAAACCATACAATCTAAAAATTAAAAGAAAAATAAACTTAAAAAGAAGAGAAAAATGTACAAAAAAAATTAAAAAAAAATGTTCTTTTACGAATAACCTCTAATAATTAAAGTAACAAGTCATTTTAGCAAAAAAAAACAGCCTGCAACTCTCATATAAACAAAAATATATATAATTTAGTGTTTTGCCGGCTCGAGGTCAGCCGGCAAAACACTAAATTATAAGTAGAAAGGTCGCTAAAACCATCAGTATAAAAATATATATATATACATATATATCTCATGATCCACTGATCGGATCTTAACCAGATTAGTATGGGACCACCAGAATTATCGAAATCGGTTGACGTGGTTCAAAGTTATGCGGTAACATACATAAAAAAAAATAAAAATAAAATAAAATAAAAAATATTCCGACGAATTGATAACCTCCTCCTTTTTTGGAAGTCGGTTAAAAAAAAATAAATGAAATAAGTCTTTAAAAATCAAATAATAGATATTTTTCGTTTTAAAACAGCAATGTGTAAATAAAAAAATATAAAAAAAAATCCGCCTACCGGAACTCGAACTCGAATCTCTCGTATGGCTTGCCTGTGCTTTGTTCACTCGGCTATTACGACTGTTGGAGTGGCGCGAGCTAAATGATATACAAGTGCTTTCTTCCAAAATAGATTTTCACCACGACTGGTGAATGAGAGAGCTTTCGAATTTTCTTGCCATTTGTCTTTCATTTGTTTTACCAAAGACTTTCAACTATCTTATGGCCCTGTTACTCTCAATCTCATGGATATGTTTCGATATTTCATACCTTAGATTCCAATGGAGCGGTACGGGAACAGTTCCCCGAGACACCACTGCCAAAGCGCTGTATTTCTCAGAGCCCCTATCACACCAGTACCTTAGCTTGCTTATTATTCTTATGATATAGCTTGGAATTTCCTTTTTTGATGAGCATCATCATTATGCGCTGCGGTATTAAATGCGTTCTTTATGTCCAGCATTAAATATTACAGCGCAGTACTATTTCTTTCCTCCGCGCCACCTTTTACCTTCGATGATCTCTTTCGCCATGTCGCACACAGATTAAAACGCATGTAAACATACATATCTAATTACATACACATGTTAAAATATATTGACGTACATGTAAACAAATGAGATTCCTAAAAATACTTTAAACTCGGACAAAATCCAACAACTACAAATCAAAGTTCCAGATCACGAGATCAGAATTTCGCAATGTCGGAAAAATACCTATAAAGAAGCTTAGCTACTATGTACAGACGTATATATGTACTTATGTATGTATGCGTATGAACGCTACATATGTACATATTTATATGGGTTAATTTGCAAACCATAAAAAAGACGCATATTTTTTTTGACCTTGAAGCGGAGAGGAATTCTACCTGGAAGATTATTAACGAAATCAAAACAAAGTCAATAAAGATCTTCAGCCACTAAAGCTGGCAACTTTTTTATGTTCATGCATTTTTTTGCTATTTTCTGCAAATCATTTCGCTTACGGAATATAATCTCATTAAGATAATTGTGCGCAAGTCAAGTGTGAAAGAGGAGTGTAAGATGGCAAGAAGAAATCGAATAATAGCAGTGGAAGGAACAGAAACTTAACGCTAATAATAGCCTCAGGCTTTCTGAATGTATGTACATTAAGAACTATCTGGACGTTAAAATCAGATTTATATTCCTGTGAAATGCTTTGGCATGGACGCCAAAAGCCAAAACCGTCGCCGACCTAAAGGCAACGGTGATGCCAACAATGTTGAAAATATTGCTTTGTTACGTACATACATACATACGTAATTGACTATAATGATATTTACGATGACGCTACTAAAAGGACAAAACAAATACAGCATATATTTAAGCGAAAACAAAAACTTGATAGGAGCCAATTAAAAATTTATTGATTTTTTCTGTGCGTTTCTAGACCTGTTAATAATACTAATTATTTATGGTTTTGGACATGGATAGTGGTTTATACGCGTGCGCACTCAACTAAGTTGACGTCTGCCATTATCGTCGGCGTCGTCATTCTCGTTGTCGTTATTCGCTGGCATCAAAACACACTGAAACGGAGAGAAGAATAGGCGAGCTAGCAGTCCGTTTAGTCAATTGGATAAATAATTTATGCATGTAAATTTGTATGCATGCACGTTTGCTTGTATGACTCTTGCCTAGCATTCGCGAATCGTATTGTTGGCTGTGTAGAATAAACACTAAAAGCTACAACTGCAAATAAAACAAGTCTACAATAAAAACCAACACACTGAAGTAGGTAAATGACGAGCATAAGAAATAAAATAAATAAATGAATAAAAACAAAAACGTAAACGAAAACAAAAACAAAAACAAAAAATTCTACAGCGGCCGAGCCATCGAAAAAAGATTATAAATGCCTGCGTTTGTCCAGAACTGTTTTACAGTTTAGCATTGAACTCGAACAGTGAGTTCGCAAAAATTATTCCAATAACTTAAATTTGCTGAAGACAACGCGAGTTCGCGACCGTGCTACATAAGCCGATAAATATATAAAATACAAATTATTCAACGCAAAATCAAACGGAACGAAAATTCAGTAGCAGTTAGACGATGCAACATTTCGGTTATTGATAAATTTAAGTAGAATAAAATTTCGGGTAAAAATTGTTGGTATACACCTCCAATATAAACGTATAAAAAGCAGCGCATCAGTGGTCGCATAGCGCGTTCAGCTATAAATTTATTCCAAAAATAAATTCGGGTTTGTCGCTTAAGTCTTTTGTTTCGTACCGCATGTAAACGTCCTTTCGACGCTGCAAAGCAAATACTTTGAGGAAAGAAAGCGAAAGCTTTAACTCTTCATCCTTTAAAGCAGCATAGCAATACATTTTCTGGAATAAAAATGTTCATGGAGCAGCGAAATTCGTTCCTTTTGACATTCCTCATCAGCAGCTGTCTGCTGTTGGCAACGGCAGCAAGCTCAAATTTTCGTACGTTTGATTTCCTTGTTAAAAAAAAAAAAACAGAAAAGTTCTACATTCTTGCGACTTCTTCGCACTGATTTTCTGTATTTAAAAATCTTTGAAGTGACTTTTGTTGTTATCTTTTTCTGTTTTCACTTTTAGCCGCCGACATACCGCGCTGCCGTTTCGGCGACACAGACTGCATAACGCGCACTTCAACGAATTTGGTGCGCCAGTATGCGCGTACCGGCTATCAGGCTGCGGGATTTCCAACCATTGAACCCTTCGTTGTCAAACGCTTTGATATTTCGGATGGCCGCGCTGGCTCGTTGAATTTGAAATTAAATTTCCGTGATGTGAATGTAGAAGGATTGTCCGGCGTAAAGATTGATCGTTCTGTGTGAGTTGATTTTTAATTTTTGATTTCATGGTTGTTTATTTTTCAATATTTTGGTGGCGGTTTCGAGCTTAAGTGCTTCTAAATTTAAATTCATGAAATGTAAGTAAGTATTCAAGGCAGAATTCAAATTCAATCAAAATGAATCTGTGTGTCAAATTGTATGCCCAAAACGCTCTTCCGCATTGAAAAAAAAACAAACAACTTTATAAATATTTGTGCTCTAAAATGGAAAGGGTTTTCGCTACTTTGGCTGTGTTGTTTTTTAAGAAAAAGTAAAACTAAAAATGCAGCCTTAGAATCTTAATAGGTCCCATCTAACGCCTAATTTGGTGGCTATTGCTCGGTGTGAAAAGCAAATATTTTTAAGTTTGAGATACTGTGGCTTAAAACAAATTAAAATAATATCAAATAAACTAAATTATATAAAATAAACAGATAAAACTGAATTCAATTACATAATTTTTCTTTTAAATATGACAAATTTAAAACAAAGTTTAAAATAAAATAAAATGAATTTAAAAAAGGTTTTTATTTTAAACAAATAAAACAATCTTGAAAATAAAATTTAACCATTTAAAAAAATAATAAAGAAAATAAAATAATATTTTACAATTTTTAAAACAAATTAAACAAACTAAATCAAATAAAAAGAAGGAAAATTACTTTTAATTTCATTTAAATTAAATTAAGTTAAATTAAATTTAGAAACTAAAACAATAGTCAGATTTGTTAAAGTAAATAAATTATATAAAAATCTAAGATAAAGAAAATATTATTTAAATAAAATAAAAAAAACAAATGAAATTGCTTAAATTAAAATTAAATTAAAATGAACGAAATTAAAAAACGCAGTTAAACATTTAGCTAAATTAGATAAAAAAGTAAGAAATAAAATGTAACCAAAGTAATTAAAATACACTTAATTTAAAAAATAAGTAAATAAAAATAAAAAACTTAAATAAAGTAAATGAAATTGAACTAAATTATATGAAGTAATACAAAAACGAAATGAAGCAAAAAATAACTAAATCAATATAAAACAAATTAAAAATGTAAGAAAGAAATAAAAATAACTAAAACAAATTAAAATAAAATCAGACCAAATAAAATAAAATCAAATGAAATGAATGAATGAAATGAAATAAAATAAAATAATATAAAATCAAATATAATACAATAAAATGTAATATAATGAAATAAAATATAATAAAACAAAACCAATAACGTTTAGAAAATAAAAAATAAAATAAAAATTACAACCAATAAAATTTAGTTAATTTAACGAATTTATTTTAATTTAAATGAAACAACATGATAAAATATAAACATTATCAAAATTTAAGTACGTTAAATAATTAAAACAAAAGTAAAAATGAAATGAAAAGAAAATGAAATCAAACCGAATAAAAAATTTAATTCAGTAAAATTAAAAAAAAAAACTTAAAAATTAAAATAATAAAATTGAAGTAAATAAAATCTAATTAAATTAATTTGAAAAACTTAATTAAACAAAATATTAAAATATATTATAAAAAATGCAAAAAATTTAAGTAAATCTAGTAAATAAAACAAAATTAAAACAAAATTAAATTATGTTAATAAACAAGTAAGAAAGAAAATAAAATAAAACAAATAAAGGCAATTCAAAGATATAAAAGGGATTAACAATTAAATTAAATAAAGTAATATAAAATTAAATCTTTTATCCGACATGAGTTCATAAAATATAAAATTGGTATTGTACATACTAAGTTTCGTAGAGATCGGTAAAGTGGCTACTGAGCTAATAAGTTTTTATCATACAATACGCTGTATTTACGTATGTATGTATGTTTATCAATTTTTAGACATCTAACGTGAGTAAATCGTAACAGTAAAGCGAGAACTATTGTATTTATTACATTTTTTAAAATACCGTTATTTGGTTATTCCCCGATATGGCAAATTTTTTATGCATTAAGATGCTTAAGTCGTTTACTGAGATATACACGTTTCATCCTAAGCGATGCCAGGCCAATTTTAAAAAATTTTAAATTTTTTTTTTCCATGCCGAAAGGAAATTCGGCATTAATTTTATAAATCTTATTTCGTATCTCACCATGGACATAATTAAGATAAATGACATTGGACTTACTGAGAAGACGAAGCCATAAGCTTTCGCTCAAAACTAATGCCGAGTTTTCACTAGGCATTGGAATGATAGACAATAGTTGCGTTCGCGTAGCTGTTAATTGTTCATGTTTAACCAAACCTTTCAGGTTTTTGCGTTCGCGTACGCAAAAAACTTGCAAAGTAGGGAAATTGAGAGAGCAAAGTGACATTTCATTTTGAGGGGAAGCTGCTGGTTTCTGCTGCAAAAATAATTGCCAACAGGAAAATAGCTGATCAAAAACAGCTGGTTTGAATTTACGCAAATCACAAAATTGCATTTGGTGGTTTGGAAGTTAAAAATGTAAACTTGTAAGAAGTAAGTAGTTATTTGTTTAATCAAAAAACTGTGTCAGGATACCACTTTGAAATGAGTTAAGGCAGAAGTATTTTTGAGTACCCAAAATTTATTTTTACATTTTTTAGATTTTGATGCCCAGTGGAAATACGGAATATATGTATGTATATCTTCTATATATATAATATAATTATAACAGGCCGATGTCTATACATTATAGATTTTAAAGAAAAATAAAAATGGGGGATCGTTATTAGAGCAACAGAAGCCAAATCAATAATTTTTAGAATTTTTGTCTGGCTGTATGTCTATTTGTTTGTCTAATGCATAGAATTGCATGCAGTTTCCATCGATTTAGAGCTAGACGTCTAACTTAGAATATAGAAATAAAAAAATTTGTGAGTTGCATCCTGTTTGAAAATTGCAGTTTAAGTAAATTGATAACGTAAAGTAAACATTGTAATATGGCTGTCAAAAGAAAGAGGCTTAAGAAGGCTTACAGCCGAAGGTTGCCACCTATTTGAAAATTTTAATTTAATTTAATTGTTAAGATAAATTGAATACTGCAATATGGGTATCAAGCTGAGAAGGTTTGGGAAAGTTTACTGCCGAAAATCTTTTTGAGGAGAGTTGCCATCTGTTTTAAAATGGCATTCAATTAAATTGATAATACAATATTACAATACGGATATCAAACAGCACAAAAATACGTTTAAGGCGCAGTGAAGCACGCCGGATATTTGCTATTTAGTACGAAATAAATAAAAAAGTTGAAAGCAATACTTCCCACATAAACTTTCACCTCAAGGTCATTACTTCAAAAGAATATCTCTATTTTTGCTGCTGATGATTTCATCAAGTAAAAGTATTTGCTTTTTTCATTCTTTCAAAGAAAATTTGGCCAATAAAAAATTGACATCCCTTTTCGCGCGATCTCGAGCTATTTGATATGCAAATTAATGCTGGAAATCACAAAATGCCTACCGACAATTTTAGTATGCATTCGGCGGATCTTCTTTATTTTGGAAATGTTAAACGTTGTATGTATAAATATTTATACATGCAGTTCATTAACCTTAGTTTTTTTTTATTTAACAGCTGATGGTGTCAATTCGAAAGCTTTTAGCATTTGTATGTAGCTATTGATCTAGCAGTGCGAGCAAAAACATTTATATATACTTACGTAAATATGCCTATGATCATGCATATGCACTTATGTACATTTATTTAAATATTTTGTTATTTTTTGAGCTTCATCAGTTTTAGCATTTTCGGCCGATTTCATATGTACATACGTATATTTTCTTGAGTTTAATATTTATATTTTGAGTTAAGCGTAAATGTACACAAACGTATGTATGTGCAAATATTGCTTTTTTCAAATACTTCTCTTTACATTTTTCGTTAATTTTTTTCTGATAACAGTGTGGAACAGCCATTTTTAGGCCTTGATGAAATAATGTCTAAATTTTGTTTACAATTTTTGGTCACCCTTTCAGTTATATTTCGCGCCATATGTACATGTGTACTGTATATAAATTTGCTTAACATTATAGTAGTTTAAAAAAAGGTTAGGTCAATGTGAGAGTCAGTCCAAAAGACCAACTCGCTTAGAACCAGCAGGTCTATGGTTTTATCACTGTGAAACACAGAAGCCTCATTGACTATATTTCATGGAACAATTTTGAAGCTCTTATGATATGGTAAGATTGCTATTATTCCTACAACGGATAGTTTTGTGAGTGAGTTAAAGAAGTGTTTTCCTAAAAAGCCTGCTCTGCTCCTAGCTAAAGCTGGGCATCAGCAGAAGAAGTGTTTGACTGTTTCCTCCTTCTCCTTGCAACCTCTACAAAATTCTTGGGAGTATACTCCTAATCTTGAAGAGTGCCTGCCAAATAGCCAATGACCGATGATGGAATGATGGAATGATGGAAACTATATTAACGGATTCGTGATCAGCAGGAACAATTCTATCAAAACCAGCTTTAACACTTGTCAAAATCAGTGTTGCCCTGTGTAAGCTCTCCACACAATACACTCGCGCTATTCAGTCGGGAATAACAACAGAAGTTGGACGAATCTGTTTACTTTCCTTTTGAATTTAAGATACCGTCAGAAACGCTCTCTATCTTGCAAAAAACAATTAATTGCTTTAACCACTATCTTAAAATCAAATCTCCGAAGCAAAATTTTAGAGCCAATGTGAAAAGCAGCATAAACTTTTGTGAGAATAGCAAATTCAAACCGCTCTAGTGAAGAAGATACAAAAGAGGATGCCGTTTACCTACCTCTTGACAAATTACCATGTTTTGCAACAGTCGAATAACTTTGATTTTTGAAATATTGGCCAGCCGGTAAATAAAGTTCCGTTAAAATTTCTAAGCCTGTTCGCATTTTGTGCACTTTTGAAACTGGTAAAATATGCAGAATCATAGAATCGCGGTTACAAGAAGTGATAAAATTTTTTCGTAATACTATTTGTTCGATTACAAAATCTTCGGTAACGTGCTGAATATACCTTTTAGAATCGAAGTATCAACGGATAAACCAAAGC